ACTGTTTAACCTTCAAGAAGCAAAGAACATAGGAGAACAGCATCTATCGGAAATTAGGAAACCTGGACACAAGTCCATTCTGTCACTTATTAGTCATGAGGTCATGTTTCTAGGTCTCAGGGAATCTTCATCCATAAAATGAAGACATTTAAGCAATTATTTCTAAGGACACTTCTAACTCTACCGATGAGATTAAGTCCAAATGAACTCTCTAGACAAGAAATCATTCATTAGTGCCTTTGTGACAGTAGCATCAGCTTCTAGGAGACGTTGGGCCATGTGACAGTCATTGCCAGAAAGCCCCAGTGAGCGCCTGACTCCGACTTCCAGATCAGCGTTCTGTCACTTCCCTCTGTTTCATTCAAACCAGTGTGATCTAAAGAACGAGGGAGAGCCCTGCACTCCTTTTAAGTTAAGTGAATATTCCATCCACCATTCTGTTCTGAAAATAAACTGAAGCTGATTTCCTCCCCTGACCTCCCTCCTCTCCCCTCCCCTAGCCCTTCCTTCTATGTAGGTGTTAATTGCACCTCTGGACAATTGGTATTTAGAATTCATTACCACTTTGGCTTCTCTCCAGTCTTCAAAGTGTTTTCTGCTTAATAGTTCCATGACATTTTCTGAGAGGATGGAAGCATCTGCCTGGATACCATTGATACTCTCCTGTCTTTCTCATCTGCAAGTCTTCAGCTCACTGATATCCTGAAGGCAATCACTTATAATTATGGCAATTGAATTCCCTGTCCTTTCTACCTCCAACCCCCAACTGAACTCGAGCTGCCTGAAGTTAGAGGCCTTATCCTGTGGGTGTTGTATATATCCCCAGCACTAATCCCTTGTAGGCACACACACAATGTATTACATTGAACTAATTTCTCCGGACCTTGCCTGTGGGTAGGTTTGGAGAGTTTTTCTATTCACTGGGACACTTTTTAAAAGCCTGTTAGGGCTTATGGACTAAAATGTGTCCTCAGTCAGAGAAAGCATCAGAAAGAGATGCCTTCCAGTTAATTAATTTGCATAATAGAATTCTCCTACAATTTCAATTGGATGTGGAAGTCACCTTTATTTTCTGCTGAAGTTTCCATGGACAGTTATTTCTGTACTTTCAACAGCTGCTGCACTCCAGGAGGCCTGTCTGTGTTTCCCAGCAAGCAGGCTCTCTGCACAGGCTGGCCAGCAGCTAAGCACAGTCATCCCTCTCAGAGCAGGAGGGGCGGGACGGGCCACCCAGTGGGCCTTTGAAGTGTTTTTTTCATTTCAAATCTAGTTGCAAACCCCATATGTACCTAACACCACGACTGTGGGCGATGTGAAATAAAAGGAGGAAAATAAGACTTGTTTGGGGAACAATTAGAAAACCAAATGTTTAAGATGTGATATATTGAAGGCATCATCACTGCATCCTTAGTTAGGATAGCAAAAGACTGTAAACTAGGGATCCAGTAATAAGACCCTGATAACATGTTGCATTTACACACTGGAGTACTACATGCAACTACTAAGGAGAGTGAGGTAGCTTTGTGTGTGCTGATGAGGGGAAAGTAGCAAGAAACAAAGAAGCTATGACATTTATGGCCCATAAGAAGGAGAAGCACACTCACTCCCCCAGAGCACATGGCTGGATTATCTCTGGAAGGTGCATAGGAAATTGGCAAGAGTGCTTGCTTCTGGGCAGAGGGACTGGGAAGCTGGTGTGGGAAGAAAACTTAAATTTCACTGCATACTCTCTTGTACCGTTGTGTATGAACTTTATTTTTCAGGAAAAAAATAAGTTGAAATTTTTTTTTAAGTTTAATGACATGAAATTCAGTAGAGAAGGGAAGGAAGCTGACTACCTTCGAGGAGTGTGTTTATTCTTCAGATAGCGCTTGAGGTCCTGCTCCTGCTGGATACTGCTGTAGGCTCAGAGTCGCAGGTGAAGTCCGACAGCAGTGAGTGCTGCACAGACTGGGAGGTAGCAGTAGTGATGGAGAAGGATGGAGGGCGGGGATGTAGGCTCTTTCAGGAAGGTGACTGGAGAAGGTCCCTCAGAAAAGGTAACCTTTGAACTGAGCCTCGAATGATGAGCAGCCAGCTATGTGGAGGATCAGGGCGGAGCTACAGAGTTCCAGGTGGGAGGATAGCAGACAGGAGTCATAAAGAAAGTTCCAGAAAGGACCTGTTTCTTGTGCGGATTGAGTGGATGCTATAGTTCAGTGTACTAACCTGGGCTGAAGCAACAGGCCTGGCTGACAGAGACAGTGCCAGCGCCATTGGAAAGTGGTGAGAATTACGTGTAAGTCATTGGGATAAAGCCAGAGCAGCACAGGCCCTGAGGCCTGGGGGTCTTGCCCTCTCCTTGACACTCCTCTTGAGGACATACTCAGATAAGGTAGAGGCATCATCTGTGGCTCATTCTTAGACGACCAGAGGCGTTGCAGCTGTGGGCTTGCTCCGTCCAGGTGCAAATTTGATTGGAACAGAGAGAGAGGGGGAAGGTGGAGGAAGGCTTATCTCCCTGACCTGCAATAAGGTTCATTTCTGGTTTTAAAAGGAAAGGGCAATGCAAACAGCCATTGTATGTGGAAGACAGTGTGGTTTGTGGGATGGCTTACAGTGAGGCTCTGAATGCTGATCTGTTGTCACCTCCTCAACTGACTTGTCCTCTGCAGTGGGGGCTGTAATATCGCTCACCCCCTCGCCAAACTGCCGTGCTATCACAGTTAGAGCGGGTTACTTCTGTAAAGCAGGTTAAACAGGTGGAAGTGTTTTATTAGTAATGACATTACCGAGGAATAATGCCAATTGGGCAGTCTTTGGGCAAAGAAAACATAGAGTGAGTTGTCAATAGGGTTTACAACTTTAAGCGAAATGATATATAACCAAATCAGTTTTACCATGGGCCAGTTCACATAAACATGAGATAAATTCCTGTGGCATCTCATCAACATTACGATGAAATGTTGTATTGGGGTAAAGATAGCATATTTCTGCTAAACTCTCCAGAAATTGAGTTGTGTATCGGAATCCATTCTGCGCATGACAGCAAATGGTTTTTATTCTTTTTGTGAACCCTTTTGGTGGAGAAAGGAAATTAAGTTCATTAGGAGACATATTCTAGTTTCTCATTATGGTGACTGGCAGGTGACCCAGAGATGTGTTTCTTTTAAACCAGTGCTCTGTGTTTATAGCCACGTGGAGGCGGCTTCTCCCATGTCTTTTGCATAATCCTCTTTACGTTTCTATCTGACTCTGCCGTTAGCTACTTCAAGGATTTTACCTCAGACTTACTTGTGTTAAATGGAGCTATTTGCCTACAGGATCATCATATGTTTAAGTTAGAACTATGCATATTCTAAATGATCAGTTTTATCATAATGTTATAGTTACACCATTCTTTATGTTATATGCTTTGTAAAGTATAAAGTCGCTAGGATAATTTTTTAAGTTTACTTTAAAGGGCAGTTACTCGGTTGCTTCAAATTACCTGTCAAGAGAGGAAAATGTACCTCAAAATAGCTAAAATAATGTCATAGATTCTAAACTCAGTGCATTCTTAAAGAAGAGGAGACCCCCAAGATCTTCCAAAACCTATTATCTTTCATTATTTTAGACCAAATTCCACCAGTTAATGTCTTTGTTTTGCTTATAGCAGAATTGAAGCATCAAGTACTTAAACGAGATGGAAAGTGAAGAAGCCTAGAGGAGGGTGGGGGGAAGCCGTGATGTGAGGGTGAAACAAAACCAAGTCCACACACCGCCTTGCCTGGCCCATCCACAGTGGAGGAGACAGCCCCACATGCCTTAGAGAGTGCTCAGGACTCAGCCATGTGCTACACAAAACTTGTGATCCCGAGTCATCAAAGAAAAGTTCAGATTTGAGGGGTGGGATGGGCGCACACTTCCCAGATGAACATGTTACAAACTCTTTTAGGTGTTATTTATACAGTCACTAGACCCTCCTTCATCTGGAGGCTTTCCTGGCTGACCCTCTACCCTGGGGATGTTAGGTAAGTGAGGCATTGCAATCCTGAGTATCATGCCCCAAGCTAACTTCATGCGTCAGGAGCTGAAATTGTCTGGGCTCTTAATAATCTCCAATTTGTAATTCTCCCTCAGAAGGTTACCGTGTTCTTGTGCCCTGGCAGCATGTATAGCCCTTGGGAACGCACCTTGCTCCTTATTGATCGCGTTAGCTTTATTGGTCTCCCCCCTAAGCCAGATGTGAAGTTAACATGTGCTAACCAACCAGTCTTCTTTTTAACTTTTCAGTATGTCAGGGAGGCAGCGGAACATTTTTATTCTTGACTTCTCCTACAAGCTGACATAATTCCTGTTTAAATATCTGGCTGTAGTAGTCTAAGGTTCTAAGAAACATTTAATTCGGAAATCTATACAGTTTGAATTACCATTAAACAATGTACGGCCTGGATCAAGAAAGGGGAAAATAAATGGTCATTGAGATGCCTTTGTGGCTACTATCCATTTACCAGCCTGTAATTGATGGAGCCTTTTGATGTCCAGCCGTATTTTTTTTCCTTTTGGAAATTTATCATTGCTCCCGCCCGCAAAGGTGCCTTACAGATTACTTGAGACTTTTCTTTGTGGTATCTCTGTTTTGTTGTTGACATTAATGAGCTTGCTGCACAATATCACCAGAGAAATAGTGTTGCTATTTGTAATGTTAATGAATTGCTTGCCTGGCCAGTTGCCATTTGTTCCAGTGTGTGAATATGGGGTGTCTGTGTGTGTGTGTGTGTGTGAGTGTGTGAGAAAGAGAGCCGAGTAGCAGGGGTGGGATTGCATTTTTTTCCCTCTTCGCAGCCAGTGACGTGAGCTGTGCCTGGAACAATCAGACTGGCTGCAAACTGGGTAGTTGAAGATGCTGGGGGAGGCAGCCTGGTGTGCGTTCGGCTAACGCGATCGCAGCGCTCCGAGCTGCTCAGGCACCACCCGGCAGAGCTCCTCCAGCATCAGAGCCTTGCAGCGTTTGGAAAGTGCCTTTTTATTTCTCCAAGCCCCTTCCCCAGTCAGCCTCCGAAATGATTGGCGTGAACAGTGTTCAGAGTGCCAGCAAGGTGCGGGTGAGGACCTCAGGTTCCGTGAAATACTCCCGGGAGGATTCTATCCGGCGGCAATCCCACCGGTCAAAGTCTATGAAAATTTCCAACTCCTCAGAGTTTTCTGCTAAGGAGACCAAGGTAAAGAAATACCATGTTAAGCCATGCAGACAATTGTATGTTCGGATAACAGAATTCGATGCAGTCCTTGCCAGTGTCTGATGTTCAGTGACAGCCTGAGAAAGTCAGGTGTATAAAATGGCTCTAAGATAGTCGGTGAGATGAGGAGGGAGTGGGTATGTGAACTCCAGATGGAGGGATGGCTGTGGCCTGGGTCAGTTTTGTAAAGAGCCAGTTTGTGGAAGGGAAGGCTGAAGCAGTGCTCAGAATGAGATGGTCATGGGAAAGTGTTGGATGGCACATTGATCTTGCTTTTAGTCTCAGAAAGGTTGTCAAATGATTTGTCAGCGCCGTGTATTTTTAGAACATCGGGGATACAGAGACATCCTCTAGGATTTTATGGTTCAGGGAGTTCCCCTCGCTTCCCCTCCTGCGCTCCCCCCGGTATGTGGAGCTGATATACAGTGACCTGGTCCTGTTACACCCCATTCTTGTCTTGTTCAGAGCCTCAACCTCAGGTGTATGTCATTGGGAAGGGTTTCTTCTTTCATGATCCTTACATGTATGTGTGCTGATGCTGAGCTGCTGCTGTTAGTCACTGGGTTTTGTGGGGGGGGGGGGGCTTAGCCTGTCTGTAGGATAATACACACTCTGTTCATATGAAATGTGAAGGAAGTGATTACGTAGTGAAATGGGCATTTACTACATGCATATTCTTGAGCGTCTTCCCACCACCATCTGTGTGAGCCGGGTACTCAGAAACACTCCCACTCCACAGGTTTAAAAATGGAATAATAGAATCATAGGATCACAGAACTCTGGCGGAGACGGAGATGATTATGATGGAGATTTGACGGTTTAGTGATGTACTGAAAAAGCCTCGGGAGGTGGAGCTCAGTGTCATTTCAGTCTTCCCGGGGTTCTATATCCAGACCCACTGAGTGACACATGGCTTTTACCTTCCCAGTCCCAGCTGTGCCATTTACATTATTAAAAGACTTTGGTAATGGCATGTGCCCCTCAGAATATTGGGGGGGAGGGGGAGAGGGGAAAGGGACAAAATACCTGAGTGTGACTTTAAGAAACATGTTGGCTTCCTATCCACCCCCTTATATTATGACACAGTGGGATCCAACCCCATCAATCATTAGCAGACTTTCTAGCTGGAATGTCTTCAGCTGTAGCTCTTCCCTCAGTATTTTGTAAAAGCTGTAGCTTCAGGGAGAAACGTGTCCTCACAGCCCTGTTCCTGTGACCTGCATGGGGATGTGTTGGTTGCTACTGAAACTGTTCTGAGACCTCCTATGGTGTGGTGACTGGTGTCTCCTGCTGAGATGGACCTGGGTGGCTTATTCTCTTGTTAAATAACCAGATGTAGGTAGGCACGGTTCTCAATGTGCCTCTAAAATTGGCTTCTATGCAGAGGGCTGAGAAGCATCTTGAGGTTTTGTTTATGTGGACTATACCCACAGTATGCAGTCAGAGGCTTTGGGGAATTTAACAGACCATTGCCCACTATCACCAATCCCGAAGAAATCTAAGCATCATAATGTTAGGTTACTCACCCAGAATCATGGCTGTGTACTTTAATGTTGGAATCTAGCATGGATGCAAGATGAGAAGTCCCTACGGACTCCTCTGTTACACAGAACAGGTTCTTTTCTGATATGCATCCATGCAGGAGAAAGCCAAGCCTTTTTGAGGCATATTGCAAACATTGCTAGGAGTCAACAGTATAAAAGACTCCTGGTAGAATTGTGGTTAATAGGTCATCATATGGTATATTGGATATTATAGTCAAATTATTTTTAAATTATATTTTTGAGGCATATATGGTCTCTATAAGTTCTGGAATGTGTGTTGAAGAATATCTCCAAGTTCCCAATATCTCACAAGAGATATTTTTATAGGATTATGTAGTCTTTTAAAATTGAAAACCGGAAGTAGCTAATAGAAACCCATTAGACTAGAAATTAGATAAATTGAACTTAATCTTTTACTGGCATTTTTGTTCCCTAAATGAAGTAAACTGAAAAACACTATAGGCTTGTACCCCGAAGGTAGTGAACTGAATTCTGTTATAGATATGTATCAACACATATTCCTGTCCACAGGGTACACATTTTATCCAGAGGTTAATTATCAGAATTCCCACTCACCTTACTTAGTCCTAGTAGTACTTTTTTAGCACTTAAATCGGTATTCCTGCTAATCATGTAAATAACACTTTTTTGATTATCTGACACTTCATTCAAAATGTCTAATCTAATGATTAGAAGTGATTACCCCTCATCTTCCCCTGCCCCCAGAGAAGGGGATGGGTCCATTAACTTGTGATATGCTCCTGGGGTTTAATGTTGTCTATCTGGAATGCTGGCTCCTTCTAGAACAGGCATAATAATTGTTGCCGCTTGTCAGAGTTGGAGTTAGAACATGTTTTGTATTCCTTGAAAGTTTTCATTTTTTGCATTTCTAACTTGTTTTATTGTCCATTAAAAGCTATTGATTTGTTTGCATATCGATTCATCGTACTCCTCACTCTTTATCTGATTTATTCTTTTGTTGTTGTTTTTCATTTGAAGCAGGTGTTAAAGGATTTCTGAAAGGATTGATACTCTTGCCTTTGATTTTAGCAAAATATCTTAAAAACTTTCCTTGTTCTCATTTGAAATTCAGAAAACTGACTTTTCTGATCTTTTGTGGTTTATATTGAACATTATTGAAACTACTGAAACACAGTCGATATGTAGTTTTCTTTTCAATTTAATTCTTGCGTAGCCTTTTTGCTTTTCCTTTAAGGTATTTTAAATCCTTTTAAGACCTCTGGATAGAGCGTGGCTTTGTTCTTTTCTAGATAACATTCTTTACATCGAATTCTGAAGCAGGACATAAATGTCAAGATGTTTTAGAAGAATATTTATGCATTTGTAGAGAAGGCATGTCTGACTTCGATGTAAGTTACTCATCAGTTGAAGGGTCTGATATTGAAAGAGTTACGAGTGAGGCTCCTGACCATCAGGGGGCAGTGCAGACCTTCTTGCTGCCAGGTTCCCCCACCCCCACCCCCCACCCGTTGCTGTTCCTTTGACAGAAGTAACATTTTGGAATCAATCTCTTAAAAGGTGAACACTCCAGAATTTGGTATGTGTATTATAAGAAGATGGTGATTAAACCTCAATTCTGTCAAACACTTCCGCATTTCTCCTCAAATACGAATTATTTTTAATTTGAGTAAGTCAACTATAGGTTGAAACTTAAATCACCAAAAGTTCATGTTGATAATATTCCCTTTTCCTTCCCTGTCTCTTGCCAAACTACATTATACATTGTACATTGGGGAAATCTCAACTCCTTGTTTTTGTTTCTTTATGTTGTAGTGGGTGACCATAACATGCATGGTTGAATCCTTGAGGAATTTTTTTAGGAATAGTTTGAGACTAGAGATTACACCAAGAATTTTCTAATTGATTATCGTCTGGATTCAGAATGAACTATTTAAAGCTATTATTCAAATAAATCAAGTTCTTCCACAGTGATATTTCAGAGTGAATCCCCTGGTACTCCTTTAGGTGCTGCAAGATAAAAATGTGGCTGTTTGCTCCTGTGCCCTGGAGCTGCGGCCTGGTGATCTAGCCTGGGTTTTGCTCACTAACTGGCAACAGGCACCTAGATGAGTCACTTTTCCCTGAGACTCATCCATAAAATGCAGGGGTTGACAAAACGGTATCTTTGTTCTGAGCATTGTTAATTTTAGAAATTTTGTGGGGGTTATTTCCTCTGTATAGGGGTAAGAAACCCAAAGACTGAGCTAGATTCGGGGAAGGTGAATTGTATATGTACTTTGAATGACCCTCTTCCTGTGCCGGATGTTAACCATAAACATGTTAAAGGTTGGAGGGCCTAGTTCATCGCTTTGCCAAACGTGTTGCCATCGTGTTGAAAGGCACCATGGACGTGACTGTCTCCATCCTGCACAGGCTTTGCCGTTATTTCTTTAGCATCGTTAGGTAAATATTAATCATCCCCCACCCCGAATCAACCTATACACAAAGGGACCTTAAGAAATCATTACAATGCCCTTTTGCAGCCGGAAGTTTTCCATGAGAGGCTTGCAGGTTGCTGTTTCCTTCCTTGATCCCTTCTGTCCTTTAGACTAAGTCTGGAGCCTGGGAGGGAGATTCAGGTCCAATGGATCATTTATATCTGCCTATTCAAAAATGGATATGTCATCTAATATGGGGTAAATCCATAGTGTTAATGTGAAAATTTTCCTGCAAATGCCTTTTTATGTATTTTTTATTCTTAAATTGAAGCAAAACATCGGTTAACCTCATAAATTCTCCCATTAGCTGGATCTTTTCAGAAGGACAGTAGATTTAAACTATTGGGCTCCCAACATCAAAAACTCCTCTGTACTAGTTATAAGCCTGGCACATGAGAGAAGCAGGAGGAGGTGTCTTTCACAAAGTAAATCTGGTGATGCAAAGATAAAAACAATTATCTCCAGAACTCTAATTTTCTTTTATTAATTCTGTCTTCCCCCTGGAGTTACTTCTTGTGTTCCAAGATGTCGTTGACTAGAAAAACAGATTGGGCTAGGCATTCCATCACCAAAGGGATTATTTAGGAAAAAGGAAAGATTGCGATCCAGTGCATGCAGACATGGCGAACCACGTGTGCACACTGAACCAGACACAGATGGAGGAGAAAGTTAAGGGGAGCGGCTGTTAACAACCATAGAGCTCTGTTGTAAACAGGGTTCTCCCTGTAGGTTCTCACACGGACTTAGAGGTCCTCCCATAAGACCTAGCTCCTCCCACAGACCCTCTGATTGATTGATTATGTCCAGGTTAAAATCTCTGCCATGATTTAATCAAAGTTATGCTTTCCCCTCGGGTGTGCTGCTGCTAGACTAACACATTTTTATGTTTTCATATAACCTTTACCCCACAGAGGTCTTAAAAAGAGACCTGGCCCCTTGTGGAAGCTAGCTCGACAGACTACATCATTATCAATAGCTG